TTATAAACATTTGCATAATGCTATGGGTTGGATAAATTTGCCCTAAAGGCCCGTGTTTTAAAAGCTTAGCTCCCAGCTCCTGGTGCTTTAATGGGAGGTCTTCTGGCCCCTGAGTAGTTCCCTTAAAGGGGTGATTGTGAGCCCTTGGTCCCATCTTCCACCTTTCTTTCCTTTGCATTTTGGCCGTGAGGTGAACGTTTTGCTACACCCTGTAGAGCTCCTTGTCTCACCACGTCCCTAAGGCAAGAGGGCCAATTGGTCATCCTCTAACATAGCTGTTCTCAACCTCCTGATCCTGGGACCCTTTAACACAGCTCCCATGCCATGGTGACCCCTACTGTAAAAAATAATAGTTGCTGGGCAGTGGTGGAGCACACCTTTAATCCCAGCACTCGGGAGGCAGAGGCAGGCGGATCTCTGTGGGTTCGAGGTCAGTCTGGTCTACAAGAGCTAGTTCCAGAACAGCTAGGGCTATTACACAGAGAAACCCTACCTTGAAAAAAAAAACAAAAACAAAAAATAGCTATTATTATTATTATTATTTTGGCTTTTTTGAGACAGAATTTCTCTGTAGCCCTGGCTGTTCTGGAATTCATTATGAAGAACAGGCTGGCCTCGACTCATAGAGACTCAACTGCCTCTGTCTCCCGAGTGCTGGGATTAAAGGCGTGTGCCACCAACTGCCAGCCATAAAATTATTATTGCTACTTCATAACTGTAATTTTCCTACTGTTATGAATCATAATGTAAATATCTGTGTTTTCCAACGGCCCTTGGGGGTCATGAGCTACAGTTTGAGAATGGCTGCTCTAAACCCCCAAACATGTGTGGCAAAACCAGTCTTTTCCCTTTGAAGTCAGATGTGCTTTGCCCAGACATGTTTCGGGGGGCAGTACAGACTTGGTTGTAACACACTGCTTAGGGAACACTTTTGTGCCACTTGGTTCTTCCACCAATTCTACTACTGTAATGGTGAACTCTGCCTGTGGCCATGTCTTTGGTATGTGTATACCACCCAGTGGGGGCACCACTTGCAACGTTTCGTTACAGATCTTTTGAAATGTGGCTGGTTCAAAGGGAGATGGGACCTGGGTAGAAAATACATCGCAGATTTCAAAGACAGTGTGATAAATAGGATAAGCACCTTAGTAATGATTTTTAGCGATTTTTTTGTTGAAATGATAATAGTTTTTATACTACGATAAACAAAATATGTTATTGACTTCACTTGTTTTTTGTTTCTAGCCTGCTGAACTGAAAGACCCTTGCACCTTCCATCTGTGGTGCATGTGACATTTCTACAGGAGAGTGCTAACGGGGCTGGAGAGACGGCTCAGTGGTTAAGAGCACTGGCTATTCTTCCAGAGGAGCTAGGTTCAATTCCAAGCACTCACATGGCCGCTCACAACTGTCTGTAACACCAGTTCCAGAGGATCTAGAATCTTCACACAGACATGCATGTAGAAAAAGCACCAACGTAAATGAAATAAAAACAAATATTTTAAAAAAATGAAATCCTAGTTAAATAAATTAAGATGGTGTTTTAGGAGCATTAACTTTGGGTGTCTTTTCATTTTATTTACAATTTATTCTCTTTCATTGCATGGTGTCTTGCCTATTGTGCGTTTGTGCATCATTTGCACGCCTCATGACTGTGGATGCTGGAAGAGCCCATCATGTCTCCCAGAACTGGAGTGACACACAGCTGTGAACTGCCCAAGTGGATGCTGGGAATCAAACTAAGGTCCTCTGGAGGAGCAGCCAGTGCTTGTAACCCCTGAGCCCCTGATGATATTTTAATCTGTTGCCAATCTAGGTTTTGTTAACAGGAAAAGGAAGAATGCCCCACATGCAAGTGGGAATACATTTTATATTACTTCACACAGATAATTATCCCAAGTATTAGAACACTTTGTATTCTAGCAAAGCACAGACTGGATGATTAATAATGAAGAGATTTTTGTGCACAGCTGCAGAGGCTGAGAAGGCTAAGGTTAAGGAGCCATGTTTGTGCATGGGGCTTACGGCTCTGTCATAATATGACAATAGGCGTTGTGTGACTAGAGAGCAAGAGAGGGCAGAACGTGCTCTTAGGGCAAGCCTAGTCCCTTCGAGAGAATTCATTTCTAAAGTAACACGAACTTATCCATGTGACTCAACTAATGACTCACAAAGGTGCTACCCTTGACCATCGGGATGTTTCTCACACACAAACGTTGGAGACACAGTCCTGCTATTGCAATACATAAAAAACCCACTCAGATTTCCTATGATGCTATGGAGCTAAGTGAAGCTAAACAACTGTACAAAGTCATACCAGGCAGGCAGGCTGCTCAAGCCTGGCCTTTTAGTCACAAACCTGATGGAACAAGGTACCCTGAGAAGCCATGTAAACCTGCCCAAGAAGGTCCAGCCGCAGCTTAACTGGGTGAGGCCTCTCACACAATCTCTCTGTATTTCAGCGGTACCCCTCTTTTCTAACTTTCATCGGCATGGATGTACAGACACACACTTATTTCAACAATTTCAGCTTTAATGAAGCCAGAATAGGGAGCATTTTTCTGACATCTGTTTACAATGTTGTGAAGTCAGCTCTATTCTTTGCCACTAATTATATTAACTATTTTTAGGGCAAACTGTCAATGCGCCATACTTATTCATGCTTCCTACATTCCCAATTTGTTTTTTAGCCATATCTATTTATAACTTGAGTTTTTTAAAGAGATGCCCTCATTCTGCCAATGATAAATTTGGGGCTTGTAATTAAGTTATAAAACACATTGTGGGGGGAGGACATATCATGAGGATCTTATTGGTGGCTACTAGATTGCTTTTTGAATTCTGCATGAAAACGTTAACACTTGGAATTATAAAGTTACAGATTAGGGAGAACCTGAGATCACCTACCTGTAGATTTTAGACCATAGACTCGGTGTTAGGGAAGCTCTGTGACCTTGTGATCCTGGAGCTGCTATTAGAACCCTTGTTAATGTCAGTTTCCTTCTCTATAGAATAAAAGTGTCCGTCCCAGAGTTTCTCAGGGATTAGAGGAGGGTCTTAATTATTTCTTGTCACTTTCATTCCAGAGTGGTAGTGATAACTGCTATCTTACCGTACTTTCCTCCAGAGGTCTCCAGAGGTGTCTCCTCTCTTCTGGCACATCTGTTCCAATTTCAACAGACCTCCATTCTCTCACAAGACTTAGGAACCTCCCCTTGGGTGGAGAGGTCCTGGGTTAGAAGGAAGCCCTACAATTTCATGCAGTGAGAAACATTTTTCTATCAAAGACACTTAGTCCCACAAGGGCTTATATTTCCTGTATCCCCGCCCCTTTTGGGTAACTAGCCCATCATGTCATATTGTAACATTGTGTCCTGTTGGGGACAGCAGACCACCAGACCCTGAGTTTCTTGTAAACAACTTGTTTACCTGTGCCTGCAGATGCTCTGAGCACGAGATCCTGAGGACAGGGGAGTGGGTTCTGGTGAGGCCTGCAGCTGAAAGATCACGAGAGCTGGGGCGTGGCTATCAGTTAAGGATCCCTATATAAGCTTCCCTGGAGCACAACAAAGTTGGCATTCTTGTATCAAGGATGACCCGTTTCTCTGTCTATGTGCGTGTGGGTTAAGTCTCCAGCTTAGTTTCCAGCTTGCGTACCATCCTGTAGTGCAGGCGCTACTGTGCCCCACCAATGGGGTGGAATGCGGTCTCCACCTAAGTCAGGGCTAAAAGGCAGTGGGCATTTTCTTGAGTATTTTTGCTGTTTTGGTTTGGGTTCTGGTGTGGTCCTTTTTTCAAAAGGAAATCACCTTGTCAAATTTCACTTTGTTTCTGAGTTTCTTTATGCAACACTGCAATTATTCTTTTCCCCACACTTCCTCCACTTCCTCTGTTTGGGGCACTCTTCACAGCCCAGAAGAAAACAGTTCTGAGACCCATAACTTAAAAACCTCAAAACACCTCCAGCATTCCATTTCTGGAAGATCAGGCTGCATAAGCCCTGCCCAAGGCGGCCGAAATCAGATGTCCCTGCTCTACTTGGGATTGGCCACTGTGACTTCCACATTCCTGTTCCTCTTTTTTCATGATTTATTTTTATTTTGTGTTCATTGGTGTTTGCCTGTATGTCCCTGTGAGGGTGTCAGATTCCCTGGAACTGAAGTTACAGATAGGTGTGAGCTGCCTTGTGGGTCCTGGAAATCAAACCCGGTTCTCTAGAAGAGCAGTGAGCACTCTTCTTAACCAACTGAGCCATTTCTCCAGCCCCTTCCTGTTCCTCCTTTTTGCTTCCAGGACGTGGGCTCTTTGCATCTCTTTACTGACATGGGGGTTGACAGAGGACAGCCAGCCTCTCCTAGTTAATAGCCTTACTAATTTCTGTCTTTTGTTAGTCAAGAGCAGGATCTCCTGTCATCCTTGCCCAGAAATACATAACACAGCTTACGTGTTATAGTCGCCTTGAGAAGAATAATACCTATCAGAAGCACACCCCCCCCCCTTCACTTTGGCTCAAGATCTTAGAGTCTTAAAAACATATGTAGTCTGGCACCTGCTAGATGCAGACTAGATACTTGAAGAACGATTAATTTCTCCCTTGGTAGCCTTGTGGGACCTGGAGAGACAATGTGTTTGTATGGTGTGTTTTGTTGTCACCAGTCAGGGGCCCTCCTGGAGAATGGCATGAAACAAAGAAGCGTAGGTCCTTGTCATCTAGACGATCGCTGCCTCCGTCCCAGTTTCACGGGGAGGCTCACCGGCGTCATCCGTTCTTCTTTCCAGGCCCGGGATTGGGGAGCGGTCCTCGTTGGTGGTCTGACCCTTCCCTGTCAAGTGAACTGGGAAAAGATGACTGAACTAGGTCCCCTACTCCTGACTACTTAATTTAGTTGTCCTGACACCTGTCGCCTAGCAACACAATTTCGCCTGCTTCCAGGGCGCAGGCTCAAAGCCTTTTCCCGCCCGGTCTCCCCGGGCGCACAGCTGTGACGCAAGCATTCCGCGACTCTCAGCAGCCACCGCACGCTTGGTACCATGGCTTCCTCCGGGGTGGCGGGTGGGAGACAGGCCGAAGATACCTTGCAGCCACCGCCCGAGCTGCTACCGGAGTCCAAGCCGCCCCCGCCGCCTCAGCCTCTACCGGTAGCCGCGCTCCCGCCACCGCCGGCTCCGCGGTCTCAGTCCCCCGCAGGCGTGAAGGAGGAGAATTATTCCTTTTTACCGTTGGTTCACAATGTCATCAAATGGTAAGGGCCTAGGAGAGGTCAGGACACCAACTTTCCCGGCCTCTGATGTTGCTGGTTCGGTCCGAGCAGCCGAAGCCTGGGCGCTCTGGGCCACGCCCCGTTTTTCCAGAGGGGCCACACTATCGCCTTGTGAGTTCTGCAAACTCCAGAGCCTGGAGAGTTACACTGTGCACCCGGGTGAAGCCCACAGACTGAGCAAATTCACAGGTTCTGCGGTGCACTCTTGTTTACATCCCAGATCCCGCTGCGTCTTGGGGTTAGGTCTCAAGTCCTTACACATATAGTCTGAAGGGAATTTTGTTTTTCGAGACCTGGTTTCTCTGTGTAGCCCTAGCTGTCCTGGAACTCGCGCTGTAGACCAGGTTGGCCTTATACTCATAGAGACCCGCCTGTCTCTGCCTCACTCGAGTATCGGGATTAAAGGCGTGTGCCCCCATGCCCTGCCATCTGAAGGCAGTTTTATACGATAGTTTTAAAATACCTGTGTTTTGGTTGTTTATATGAGTCCTAGTGTGAAATTTCCCACTTGTACCATTATGTGGGCTCTTAAAAGTTTTCTAATATTGGGAATTTTAGATGTTCAGATGCGAGATTCTTGCCTTGAACACAGTTCCCGTTTCAGTGCTAGGCAACATCTTTACCTGTGTGACACTATTAACTACTACAGATGTACACCGGAAAGGAACCAGCGATTTACTGGCACAGGGTTTACCCAATAGAAGCAGAGTAAAACAAGCCTTTTTAAAACTGGATAGGGAGCCAGGCGGTGGTGGCAGACGCCTTTAATCCCAGCACTCAGGGGGCAGAGGCAGGAGGATCTCTGTGAGTTCCAGGCCAGCCTGGTCTACAGAATGAGTTCCAGGACAGCTAGAGCTGTTACACGGAGAAACCCTGTCTTGAAAAACTAAAAAAAAAAAAAAAAAAAAAGTAAACTGGAGGGGGTAATGCTAGAAAACATTTGAAACAAAGACACGGAAGTTGCTCCAAATGATTATGTCCCAGTATTAACCTTCACAGGATATTAAAGGATGCGGGTGCCGTCTTTTTTGGCACAGTCTCTAGTCTGCAAGATGGCTTACGTATTTTTTTGTTACTCTCCGTATACAGTTGTGCCACTTCCAATAGGGACAAGCATTCTCATCTCAAGTGTGCTTTGATAAACTCAGGTGGCACAGGACAGTCACTCCCTGGGGCCTCTTGGTGCTGCCAGGATTCTTGGTAACAGTAAGAGAGTTGGATGGCTTGGCAGGTGAGAACGCTTGCTGTGCAGGCAAGAGGACCTGAGCTTGAATCCCCAGCATCCACATAGAAAGCAGTCATGGATGCTCATGCCCTGTGGCCCCAGCATTTCAGGGCAGAGACAAACACATCTTGAGAGCTGTGGCCAGCCAGCCTAGCTGAAACTATGAACTTCCCATTAACCGTGAGACCCTGTCTCAAAGCACTAAAATGAAGAGCCACAGAAAAAGACACCCTGCTTCAGCATGCCCGCCTGCACACTCACAGGCATTCACAGACCCTGAATAACAACCCCCCCCACACACATACATAATAAAAAAAAAGAGTCTTAGTAACATAGGGTATATAAAAAGCTGCTGCTGGTGTCTTAGGACATTCTGTTAAAAGGGGGAATTTTGTTGAGAGAGAGTTTTGCTACAAAGCCCAGACTACCTTTGACCTTTTGATCCTCCTATCTCAGCTTCCTGAATGCTGGGGCTACAGGTGTGCACCATTACACCTAGCAACCTTGAATCTTTTAGTAGGAGGGGGTGTGCTTTAAAATCACGGTAAAAAGTTCATTACAGTAAATGCAGAAACTAGTGACATTATTATTGTCAAAGATTAGACACTACCTGTAATTGTATATGCTATCTTTTTATACCTGGCAATAATTACTGTAGTTTTTTTCCTTCACACTAGTATGAGTGATGCATTCTGCTGCGGCGTTACCCCTGCTTCTGTGCCACTAGGCAAAGGAAGGTTTTGGTTACACTGTAACCATTAGACTATTACTGTATGTATGATCTGGAATTGACCAGGTTATTCAGGGATGACTGGGTAGCCACTGGACACTAGGTGTAACCTCTACTAAACCATTAAATACTAAAAGTAAATTAAGACAAGATTACAATTCCAGTCATCTTTATGAACGTGCCCTTTGATGTTTTGCTGATAAGGAATTGCCATTTGGCCTAGAAATCTTAATAGCCAACTTCACTAGAGTTGAGGCAGCCTAGATCCCTTGCAGTATGGTGGCTTGGTGCTCGCCTTAGCTAGGGTTACTGTTGTGTGATGAAACCCCATGACCAAAAGCAGATTGTGAAGGAAATGGTTTGTTTGGCTTTTACATCCATATCACTGGGGGAAGCCAGGGCAGGAACCTGGAGGCAGGAGCTGTTGCCGAGGCCATGGAAGGGCTGCTTACTGACCTGCTTCACCTGCTTGTTCAACCTGCTTTCCTTTTCTGTCTTTTCTTTTTTCTTCTGGTTTTTGGAGATGGTTTCTCTACATAGCCCTGGCTATTCTGGAACTATTTATGGACCAGTCTGACCTCAAACTCAGAGATCCCTCTGCCTTCACCTCCCGAGCATTGGGATTAATGGTGTGAGCTCCCACGCCTGGCTTCAGTGTATTTTCTTACTTAGAATCCAAGACCATCATCCTCGGGGAGGCTCACCCGGCTGGGCGCTCCCATATCAATCGCAAATTAAGAAAATGCTCCATAGTCTTGCCTTCAGCCTGACCTTGTAGAAGTATTTTCTCAGTTGAGGCTTCCTCCTGTCGGCCAACTCTGTCAGGTTGACAAAACACAGCAGGGCAGTGCTCATCTGCAGCTTTTCAAGTGACCGCAGAGCTTCGGGTCTCACATTGGACTGTTCTCCTGGCTCAGACAACATGAACGTCTGCACGTAGGGTAAGGCAGCCTGTCCTCTGTGTTAGCTTTTGGCAGATAAGTAGGTGAGACGGAAAAGAGGAAGGCAAACAGAAGCAACAAAAACCCTGACCATCTTAGGGCAATGCTGGAATATTGGGGTTACCCAGAGTAACCCAGATATACATGGATTAATTAAATCACAGGTGTACAATCAACCATGCTGCAGAACAGATGTTCAAGCCAGCAAGAGCACTTGGGTTGGGCTAGCCTTGGTGACAGGAAGTGAGATGTAGCAAGAACATGCTGTGAAGTCAGAGGGTCTGAGTTCAAGTTTGTATGCTGAGGCTTGCCTTACCATCTTTGTGAATAGTCTTCCCAGGCTGTAATTTTCCTGTCTCTATATATCAGTAGATCTGAATTGGAAGTGGTGGTGCATACCTTTAATCCCAACACTCAGGAGACCTAAGGCTGATCTCTGAAACTGAAACCAACCTAGTCTACAGGTCTAGTTCCAGACCAGCCAGGAATAATGGGTTCAAACTACAGCTCTGACTTATGGCTAGGTAGCCTTGGGCAGCCAACTCTGCTTCTCATAGAACTGGGAGAGCTCTAAGGTGCATGCCTGTGAAAGATGGCAGGTTGATCACATGGGCTTGTCTAAAAGGACACAGGGGGCTAACTCACCTACTGACCCTGAAGCAGCTGCCTTGACCGTGGCCTTCCCCACACCTCTGTAAGCAGTATGAAGGAAGGCGGTCTAAGAACAGGGGAAGTCTAAGGAGGAAGCACCCACAGTCCTGACCCGCTCCCTTGCCCAAAGCAGGTAATACCCTTCTTCTACCTTGTAGACAGTGAAAGCATTGCTCTGCCCAAGATTGATCCTTGGCAAGGAATAAACCAGACTCAGTGTAGGACATGTAGCATACTTCAGGACTGGGAAGGGAAGCCAGCTGAAAACGGGTTATGAGCCCCTCAACAGTGTGGCTGCTAACCTGGCAGAGAGAATAAGGAAACCTCCTGAAGTGTGTGACCAGCTGAAAGGAAAAGATTCTGGGGAGAAAAGCCGCCTTCAAGAAAATCCAGTTCTGGTCATCCTACTCAGCGTTTAGCAGCTCATTTGTAACTATGTGACTAGCAGTACTGGCTACTAGGCACAGAAAAGAAACTGTAGTGAGAAAGACAGGACCCCACCCCCACCCCGGGGTGGAGGTAGTGCAGGCCTTTAGTCCCAGCGGGTGGGAGGAAAAGGCAGATGGATCTCTGAGTTCAAGGCCAGCCTGGTCTACAGGGTGTGAGTTCCAGGACAGTCTGGACTGTTACACAGAAAAACCCTGTCTCGAAATAAAAAGAAAGACAGAACCCAGAGAGGCCAACTGGTATTGTCTCCATGAAGAAGGGTAAGTCCAGTTTGAATCTCTGGGGTGTTGGGTGAGTTTTTAGGTCAGTGAGGAAAAGAGATTAGAACTATGCCTGGGGCACGGGGAGGGGAGGAAAGGATTTAGGAGCCTGGGGTTGCAGCTCATAGTGGGTGATGCCACCACCTACAAGTCTGATAGTACAAGAGGGCAGAAGGTAGGGGAGGAAAGCTGGATAAGGAAGAAAAGCTGTGCACTCGTGACTCCTGAGGTCATTGCTCAGTGTGATGTGCTTAGCACAATCCAAGGAAGGAGGGAGATTGTAGAGGAGCCAGGAAATTGAGGGCAGCATTTCCTTTATTCTTGGAGGACTAAGCTGCCAGCAGATCTTACGTGCTGGGAGTCAGGGACCGGGACCAGCAGCAGGCCTACTGGTCTAGGGTGGCTCTGCCAGGCTCTGATGTCTTGTTCTGTGCTTCCTCAACAATCCTTGAGTTATGTATCGTCCTTTTCTGGGAGAAGAAAGGGTGGAAAGTCTCAAGTACAGGATGTAATCTTGTTCTCCTAAAGAGCTCAGCATCAATTACATCATAAGGGAGGTTTAATTAACAAAAGGAACAGTTGCCAGTACAAGTGTGGCTGCTGGGAATACCTTAAGTTTCTTCTTTGGGTTTATATGCATGTGTTTCTTTTCAGAAAGTCATAGAAATGGGGACCAGGCTGTCATGTGTCATTTTCTTAGATTCCATCCTGTGCACATGTAAAAGTCT